ACATTTTCCAGTACTATAAATGGCTCAGATACTTGATTTCTTATAGTCATAGGGGGGTTGTGCCATATTTTCTTAACTATTATTATGCAATTATTTCCAAAATGAAATCTTTAAAAACATTGTTAGAATAACATCTTATGCAGAAAGCTTTTTCATTATTCAGATTGTTTATTTAGGCTAGAATTTCCCTATTTAATACCATCTGCTTGATATATTAAATCTACCCATATTAAATGTGAACCCTACACAAGAAGTGAACGTGACCCTTGCACTTGAGTTTGGGTAGAAGTAGGATTGCTTCTAAACAACTTCAATCTAAAGCACTAGATGCACCTGTATTCTGATGGCATTTTCCTTTTTCCTTCTTAATTAGCCTCCGCTGCGATTCCAAAGACTTGGACATCTAGTGGCTCTGATGGCACTACTGTGTGGGGACCCACTGAAAGAGGTGGCTGAGGAGGCTGCAGAGGGCACGCACTACCTGTTGCATATCACCCTGAGGCTGAAGTGTAAGGCCCTGAATGAATTCTCAACACAGTGGTTCTCAACCTTCCTAATGCTGCAGCCCTTTAATACAGTTCCTCTGGGTCGCAACCCACAGGTTGAGAACTGCTGCCTAGCACAACATAAGCACCACCCTCCTTATGTACTCACTCCTCATGTTCTAGAAAGACCTTTTACAGTAATTCATAAAGAGAAAAGTACGTGACCCATAAGTGAAGTATCTTAGGAATGTTCTCCTAAGTGAGAACTAAATGGGGGATATACACGTATATGCCCATAAAACAGTGTAACAGACACTGAAAGCTAAGAAGGGGGAGGGTGAAAGAGGAGGGAAGGATTAAAACCTAACTTTTCTGGTGACAATGTACCGAAAGCCCTGACTTCAGCATTATGCAATTCATCCATGTAATAAAAGACGCTTGTATGCCCTAAATCTATTGAAATTTTACAAAAAAGAGAGAGAGAAAGGTATATAGTCCATAGGCAGAGGTGAAGCAACACTGACTTAATAATTAAAATCATAACACTAGAGCAGACCCATTGTGAGCCATCTGCATGGCCATGGAGCAGCTAAACCTGTGGCCCTGGGGACAAACTGGAGAGATGAGTTTGATCAGATGAGAGAGGCTCTTGCCATTACTCGGGCCTTCATTCACTTACTTATTCCGCACATGTTTATTGAATACTGACTCAGGATACCGAAGTAACCAAAACACAAGCAGTCCCAGTCATTGTATTACAGTCCAGTGGGGGATTCAGACAACCAAAGAATCAACAAATAACTGTTATTATCAACCAAGTAAACCTGTACAGCATGTTCCTATAGTGAATACAGTGTGAATGCTATCAAGGGAAATTACAGGACCTGTGAATAAGAATCAGATCTAGTTGTAAGGTTCATAAAAGGCCTTTCTGAAGATAATCTGAAGAAGAAAGTGCAGTTGGCCAGGTGAAGAGGTAAGAAGAGCATATTAGGCAGAAGGAGCGGCGTAAGCAAGGGCCCCCACAGATGTGAGCTGGAGGAGTTTGGAAAATACAGAGAGGGCCAACACGGTCAAGGGCTGAACCCAGTTAGAAGAGACTTTAGGAAGTATCTAACCCAGTACAGCATCCTCCCAGTGTTGGAATCACAGTCTACTCAGTCCCTACCTAGTATAGTCATGTACCACATAAGGACATTTTAGTCAACGACAGACTGCATATGTGAGAGTGGTCTCATAAGATTACCTAGTGACATCAGAGTTGTCATAATATATATATATATATTTTTTTTTGAGACAGAGCCTCAAGCTGTCCCCCTGGGTAGAGTGCCGTGGCATTATAGCTCACAGCAACCTCCAACTCCTGGGCTCAAGCGA